CCATGGGATCTGGGCTACGTTCTTGCTATGTAAATGGTATCATGTATATCTCATGATTTTACCAGACACGCTGTAAGAAATACATGAAATTCTTTTTCTGCCTTACTTTCTATAAGTCCCTGATTTACTGCATGCTTACGATAATTTCGTTTAATGCTCCAAACAATCGACATGATTTCCAAACAGCAGACATATTTTCATTTTAACTTATTAGTTCAAGAATAAATGAATATTTGATAAAAATACACCTATTAAATGATATTTGCTTGAACGTTTCATAACTTGAACGTTTACAAACTGACTTTAGCGTTTAAATTCATCTATTGATCGAGCGAGCGAGCGGAAATTGTATATAATATGTATCTCACATCTCCAAATGGACATTCGACCTATGAAGAACCGGAGTAGAATATGTCTTCAGCAACCCATACTTGTTGTAAAAGGCGACTTTGCTTGTCGTAAGAGGCGACTAACGGGATTGGCCGGTCAGGCTGATGGTCAGTACTTGGTTGATGCATGTCATTGGTCCCAATTGCGTGGATTGATGCTCATGATGTCAGTCACAGTAATGTCTGGTCCATCATTGTGACATCCTATACAACCCGAGGTGGACAAACATCAGTGATGTCAAATGTCTAGAAGAAGCAGATTGCATCACCTGTTGATCTTCTTTAAGTTATCAAGGGATAATCTGATTCGTTGGTACACTATGTATTTAGATCAGATTTGTATAAGGCACCCAGTAGCAAGGAACTATATAGAAATGAAAAACAAATATGTCGAAATAAATGAACACATATACAGATTATCGCGTGTACAATGTTAAACATAAATTGAAATATGGATCACATTATATCCTTTGGTCGACGACGCCATTTTGAAGCATGGGTGCAAATAAAATGGAGGCAGCTGTCGTCAAGACAGTTTATTCAATTTCAATCGTCAGCCTCATTGTTATCAATCGCCTCTTCTTCAATCGTTGCCAGCATGGAGACGCCTTCTTCTGCACCATCATCGCCCCATTTTGCGACTTAACAGTATCCAGAAAACATTAGATTCCCAAAAGCTGAAACTCTCGATCCCAATTTCAACAACGCCAGTAAGCTGCAACAGCAACTTGTGGACATGCCAGGTAAATTATATGTTCAGCTGTTCCATTTCCCGACTTTTCATGTCTACTGCATACATCAAATAAGAAATTTATTATCGGATTGAAGTTTATGCAAAACACAAGGGTATTTAATCTTTGACATTATATCTCCAATGTCTTTCGTTTGAGTTGAATTGCCTGACAAGACATATAAATTGTCGGGGAATTCATCAAACTTAAAATTTTAACTCACTCACTGTTTTAATAAAGCCAATAAACAAAGTTTTTGCCCTTATGGCCAGTCACAGGCACATTTAGATTCCTCAGATATACCATTATTGTATCCATCACGGTCTATTCACATCATAATTTATCAAACGTTTGCTTATTAACCGACCGTATGTTTTTGTATATTTCAGGCGAGAAAAAAATCAGTACTTTAAGAGGCCCAAAGGAAAAAGTCAGCTCTATGGAATTCTCGCTGTTCATGGCATTGCTGCAATGTCCAGATCACATCTGACTTTGGCATCACTATTTGTCAGATTGACGCTGAGGGTCATGGACAGAAATGTGTATAGCAAGCTGATGAGGACAATAAACAAGGCCTCTTCAAGAAAAGTTGTGTGACCACACTCGTGTCACTAGAAGGGACCAGAGTCAACTGCTCAGTACGCATTTCTGGTGTTTAGTGAAAAATAGTTGTGTCGATCGGAGTAGAGCAGGCCTTGCGGATTGCAGTTGCACAGTGCTTCCGACGACCACCTGATGCAAAACATGGTCCCGTGGTACGTGACTTAATAAAACGCTCTTTACTAAACCTGTATTATTAGTCAACAGGTTTTCTCTTCACGGGTGAGTTATAAATAGAGGTTATAATATTCTGTATTTGGAATAAACATTGTATCTTTTATCCTTTCCGAGCTAAATACACAGCGTTTATTCCTAATACAGGACATTTACCATCGCCTAACACACGCTTTGATAACCTCTTTCTCATATAATGTCATTCTTCAATTCTGTCCTCGAAATCTCTCTTCCAATCTCTCACAAACATTAACGAAACATTGAAAGTGTTCCTGGTGAGTGAGTGAGTGAGTTGGGTTTAACTCCGCTTTTAACAGTATTCCAGTTATATCACGGCGTGTCAGCTTAATGTGGAAGGAAAGCCCGGAATGGTCCAGGTCTCAAGACTTTTACCACTTCGGTGAAACCCATGAGCACGGGTATGGTGATGACAAACCTAGAAACATAATTGGTGTTGAACTGGGATTCGAACCCACAATCATAGGTTTCTGGCATGCCCAAGGGCGAAAGTGTTCCTGGAATGTGTGCAATACTATATATTACGTCAGAAGGTTAGCCACGTGTCCGTCGGACAGCGACGACAATCAATGTAGTTCCACCTGGAACCTCTTTCTATTACAGTAGCGTAACTTCATATAGGCAAATCAACAATTGCCTTCACAAATTATTTCTCTTTTCCTTTCGTGACAATCCACTGGTCTGTCAGCCAGAATAACTGGCCTTCATCAAAGGGAAGTTGATCCAACCGTAGTCTATGAAATGCCACGTTTGTTTAGAGTCTGCCTGTCCTGTCATAACGTTACGAAGTGCAGTCAAATGAACACACATCAACTAAACGAAACAAGGTAACAGTTCATACATATTTCGGCCAAATCCTACTGCATTAGTGTGGGAGAAATGTCCCAATCCACAGAGGAAATGGATCCTGCTGGTGGCGCTAGGCTAGTGTCCTTGCCCAATTGTTTCACAATTTATATCTCCAAAGTTCCCAAAACGTGTAACATGCCACAGATACGTCACAGTAGGACACTGATATTCAGGATATCAGACTCTTTCTTTGATAATGACAGCAAATTATCCCAGTAGTTTATCCGGATTCCGATGGTTAATTGTGATTCGATCGCCGAAAGTTCCTACTTGACCTTTGATATTTTCATTACTATCCGCACATGAAGCCAATTGATATCGCTTTTATTCGCTGGCTTTATCAGTTGCATTTTCAAGTTTATTTTGCTTTCATGATATGTTTGTCCGACCCTTTGAAGAAAGTTTTGACATGAAAACCACAACAAAAGAAACGTACGGCCAAAAAGAAAATGTGTATATAGATGACAGCCTACAAAAAAGGGGGAACTGATGAAATGATAGTGAAGGTGTAATGATAATTAACGTCTAAAATTAATTACAGGCGTGTAGATCAATACCTGGTGTGTCCACCATGTTGGGCGGTACATGCACGACACCTTGATGGAATACTGTTGATTAATTTGCGTACGGTCGCCATTGGTATTGCCTTCCATTTCGCCTGAAGAGCTACCTAAAGCTGGGCCACGTTGACAGGTGCTCGGTCTCTGTCCTTCAGCCTCGACCCGAGAACATCCCTCAGATGCTCTATCCCAGGGACTTAGCTGGCAAGTCCAATGACCGAATGCCTTCTAGTCGTAGATAATCGGTGACAAACTGTGCCCGATCTTGCAGTTCTGATGAAAATTCTTGCGAAAAGGACAACAACAGGTGGCGTTGCAAAATGTTGTCAACATGTCGCTGGCCGCTCAAATCTCAAGTTCCCAAACAAACAAATGTTCGTTTATCATGTGTGACACCCCACCACACCATGACACTACCCCTCCCGTACCGATCTTGGTCAAGAACTGTTGCCCTGTCATACTGCTACTTCCCAAACAGCGTGTTCTGCTATCTGGCGTGCAGCCCGTCCCTGGTTTTGCTTAGTTCAACCCAATCTTTGCCGCCTATGGTATACTTTCAGGTGGCCTCGTCTCACCTCAACTCTCTTGTACCAATAATTCGAAATTTCATTGTGCTTAGATGTTCTGTTTAGATGCAACGCCAGGGTTTTTTCAAATGTCCACCTTAACCATAGCTACATTCAAATCATGAGTTGCTTTATTTTTGTCGGTAGTATATGCTATACAGGAAACATGCCCTGTCCATGTGGAAAAAGCAATGAGAAAGAAGAGGAAGAAAGGAATGTTGGCAAGTGTCTCGTCTTCAAGAAAAAAACCATCGCCTTTATTCGTTTGAGTTAATTTAGACGCTTCTTTGGCAAGCCTCGACTCAAGCCGTTGAAGCACGGGCCGATGAGCTCAGTCGTATTCTAAAGCAGGGGAAGTAACTCCTGTGGGCTTAAGAAAGTCATGTTTGGCATGTGCAGGGATGAGGTGGAAACTCACAGAATTGGATCAAGAAGAATGTAAGGTAGTCAGTCCCGTGGATCACCAGCTTTTGACTTGGTGCCCAATACGCGGCATTGCATCAATACTGCGGAATCGGCGAAGAAATAAAAAAAACATTCAAGGAGAAAAGTCGAAGTGATAACCATATTTAGAACAAGTAGATTGTAAAATACTGTGGTGACAAGGCTACATATTTGTCGGGATAGGCTACTGAATGGAGCGGGTGGTCAGACTCACTGACTTGGTTGATTGTGTGTGATCGTAACACAACAGGCGTCGGACGTTCCTCATTCTGTCAAGCCCTAGTTTGACAGGTTTTCGTCATATAGTTATGAATTTTTTTAAGTGTGGCGGTAAACAATAAACATACAAACAATGCCCTGTAAGGGGCAATGTGTCCTACAGTCATGAAAGGCGCTGCGATTGGCTGTGCTGCGTTGTGTCCCTTACCATGATCCAAAGATTATGGAAATGAATTCCAGATCCTCTCAGATTATGGTTTTTGATTAGTTAGCGTCATATGTGTGATCTATGTTGACCGACAGAAAAATAATGAACTGTGTGGTTTTGTTTCGTTTGCCCCATGCTCTCGCGTTCTCGTTTTGTGTTATCGCTTTGTAGCGTCCAAAATGGAATTCAATTCCCCTCCCAGGCACAATTATGATCATTGGTTTCAGGAAAGAACTGATTCGCTTCATGAAAGGGAATTCATTCATAAAGTTTAAGTACATTTCAAAGCGGTGAAATCCCGTTAGCTTCCAGATATAAATCACATGTTGTAAAAGTTTTTCCTCATGTCAACTTCACCATAGACATGCGCCATATCAATACATATTTATCATGCCCTAACTCATTTACAGCAGGTGCGCTCCCCAAAAACCTGCTCATTGAAACTCCTTGATAACCGTAGAGCTTACATGTACTTCAAACCTGTTAGAACAGGCTACCAGCAGCTTAATCATGGTAGTGAGGGGTGGGTGCTTGTAAGAGGCGACTAACGGGATCGGGTGGTCAGGCTCGCTGACTTGGTAGATGCATACCTTCGATCCAAATCGCGTGGATCGATGCTCATGATATCAATCACTGGATTGTCTGGTCCAGACTCGAATATTAACAGACCGCCGCCATATAGTTTGAATATTGCTGAGTGCAGCTTTAACAAAAAATGTTGGAGGTGACTATATATGGGGGTGGACTTGGCTGATTGCGTTTCATCGCACCCCGATGGCATGGCTCGTAGATTATGTTTTCACTCTCTGATTATTAAAAGATATGATAGAGCTGGAATTCGGTGTTAACAAACGAACATACTTGTAGCCACACCATGCCCCCTGTTTAATACAACTTGAATATTGCCGAATGCAGTGTGAACAAACGAATACAGCCAGGCTATCCCCTTCTTGATAGAGGTGGAATAATACTGACAGCTGTGTTAACAAAGAGACACAACTGCACCTTGTCCCTGTGTGATGCTTGATCAAACAAAACATATCTAGTTCACATCACCCTCGATTATCCAGTGTAATATGCCCCCTTTCTGTTACAATTTGAGACACGGCCACATTCGGCACTACAGCTTCCTTTTGAGCCCCAAATTACGAAAGCCTCATGGTGCCACTTTGGTGCCACTTTGGTGCCACTTTGGTGCCAGTTCTTTTTTGGGTTATAATCAAAATTTCTTGTTATTTCAATTATTTTCTCTCGATACTTCGATTGGTTTCTCGTAATATCGATTAGCTTTTCGTTATTTCAGTTTTATTTCAAGAACGCGAAATTTCTATTTAAAAATCAGCAACTTGATTGGGATTTCACACGACGAGGCTTTCGTACCAAATAGCCTTCCAAGCAAATACCAAGTGACAGTTAACGAACACCGTCGAGATAATGTAACACATCATGTTGCACATCTTACTGTCATTTATGACATATTTTTCCAGTGACAGCTTCATCCCAGACACAATTCATGGAGTTTTAGTACGCCCTAAATCATGTACAGTAGCAACGCTTCTCACATTTATGTCTGAATGTAGTGTTCATTGACACTCGTACATTGAACAACTCCCTTCTCAAACAACATAGCTTACATTTTGATTCGCTGAATATGGCTTATAATTTATAATAAGTGTGGAGAACAAATTGACCTATTCATCCGATCATATTGTAATAATTACAATGAATATACAAACTATATGTCTGTATCTGAATATAAACAAAACATAGGGAACACACAAAATTGATTTGAGTTGAACGTTATTAATGGTTATGTTATAAAAAAAGCACATGAGGAAAATACAGTCAATTAGCTTCAGCCGTTGTAAACATTGACTCCTATTATGCCATATATGTCTACAATAAGAAAGGAAATATCAAACAAACATGACTGACACATACTTGACATGCTCATCTGTGTAGTCGGGGATAGTTTATGACAAAACACATCCTGGTCTCAATTACAATGCCTCATTCGTGCATTGCGATTCCAAACATGGATGCAGTGAGGTATGGCTGGGATATTGCTAAAAGTGGCGGAAAACATATTCAATCCCTCAAACATTCCTTATTATGAACTCTTCTTATCTTGCCAGTGGTTCTTATGTTAAACAAGTGGAAACTGTTTGTTTTAAACTGACCCATGAGCTAGATCTCTTAATCAATTATTTGACATGGAACATTTCAAAATGTGTAATAGTTTAAACATTTCAACCGTCTTCAGTCACTTTTAAAACGTATGTAATTGTGTGGTCCTTCCGCCTTTTCTATGCCGATTGCGGACAATGAGGATGACAGCAATTATAAGTAAGACGGCAAGCAGAGACAGTCCGATAGCAAGGCCTAGAGTAGCATCAGTTGGAGTGTCTGTGTCTTCAGTAGCAGTGGGTCTGCTGGGCGTGGACGTCGGTCTGTTAGAGGTGTACGGTTGCTCGGTTGGTACAGTGGAGGTGTCGACACTGGTGGTCGTTACATCTTAAACAAAAAAAATTGAATCATGAGTTTGTGATTTTTTTACGCTGCTTTTAGCAATATTCCAGCAATATCACCGCGGGGGACACCAGAAATGGGCTTCACACATTGTTCCCATGTGGGAAATCGAACCCGGGTCTTTGGCACGACAAGCGAATACTTCAACCATTAGGCTACTGCACCGCCTCTAGCCATGAGTGAGTTAACAATATAGCTCATAGCCGTAGAAAGATAAAAACAACTTTTTGATTTTTGCTATTCTTAAGGCTCATTAACTGTATATATTCACTAGTGACGTAGACCGCATGTCGGCCGTATCTTCTTGTGTATGCACAATGTTGCTTTGAATTGAAATTATATTCTTTTGATGATGTCACACCAAAACGGAGAGAGGCAATATCAACAATTCCCTGAGTGTTCTGGTGGAATGCCTGGGATCTGATGAATACATTTCAAGTGCAACACCTCAGTTTTACAATTGACGTTTTAAAAACTTGCCTTATGTAACACCGTTGTGTTTGAAGACTGGTTAAAATTCATGACGTGAATAGAACCTGCAAACTCTCATGTCGTGTTAAGTTTTGTAAGCCACTGTTTACCTACTGAGCTTCTGGAGCAGGTGAATAGAAGTTGTTCAGTCATGACTGCAGCTGCAAATGTTTTTTCTCTCGCACGCTTTACGAGAATTCCTTTCATACCGCGATACACTGTATTGTTTCTCAGTAAGGCAGGTAAATGGGTTTTTTAAAACTTTTTTTTTTCAATATCAGTTCAGTGAGTAAATAAGGGAGTTACTTTGAAGCAATATTAATGATGAGACATAGACTTCCGATAATCGTTATGATGTGACCGCTTAAAGCACCCAGATTTTATTACCAGGAAGGATATTGTGGTAGCCTAGCAATAACTGATCAAGATCACAACTTGGGATGGATAGATACACTTCGTAAATTTCAATCACAGCTCACCAATATCTTCTTTGTTTGTTTTCAAATGTTTGTTCTATCTGGTGACATTGGTATCGCCCAACTCTTGTGGTCAGTCATCCCATTCAATGATTATTGCTATTTGTCATGGTTCAGAAATAGGGGTGTGTGAATTTGTTTTGCAACACTGTGAGGGTAAGCTGTCTCGGCAAAAAGATTTATTTTGTAGTTGATTTAGCAAAGACAGTTGCTACTGAGCTTATGATGAAACACGGGGACTTCAGTCCACAGGCAGAAACATCGATCCAGTTCAAGTATCTATCAGTTGTCATTGCATGACAATAACCATTCTAGATTATACGCCCAAACAGATTAAACTGAGTCGAATTGCGGATATCAGATGTGAAAAGTATATGCATGGATCAATCAAAATAGATGTTCAAGAAGGTCGTGGCTCGAGATAAGCCCCAAGAGACAAGTCTCAAAACTGATATAATTAAGTTTCAGCCGATTATCAGTCATTTATGGTTTCACGGCTTGTGTGCAGTCTTCCATACAATAAATATCAGAAAGCTATGAGTTAAGGGGTATATAAGTGATGATCAATCTAGTGTTGAGAGAAAGTTTTGGTTACACTTTGTGTGTAAACTGCAAAAAGGACGAGCGGAAGTAGCGATCCTTGCGGCACTCCCCATGTCACACTTGTCTGATATTGCATAACCAATAATCACAGACAGACATCCACTCGATAAATACAAAGATAAAGACCAGTGACTTCGACGCCCATCTAAGATTGTAACTACAGTAAACTACGGTTATAACGAACTCAAAGGAAACACTTATTTGTAATTCTTTATAAGTGTAGTGTACAGCAAATATACAGGAAATGGGCGGGACCAAGAAATAGTTTGTTATATTCGTCAGTTCAGTGTAAGCGAGTTCGTTTTAAACGATGTTTACTGTACTTAATTAGTTTTTGAAGATATGTATGCTTACACAAGGAGTGTTTTATTTAGATATTACACATGTATACTGATATAAGTTTCTTCGTCATGTAACGGATAGTTTTTAGGCTGGATAACGCCAGCGGATGAAAGCGATTTTCCATTTGGGTCATTTGAGATAAATATGCCAATACAGTGTTTACAAACAAACATTGCGTTGCCCTTGTCAATTGTCGTCGAGTTCAAGCAGCTTGGCGAGGACACTGGGGTATCAGTTTTGGTATTTGCGCTAGATCTTTAAAACATTTGGCATAAACGTGTCCGAAATAGTAATGGTTCATTTGTTAATTTCTTTTGCAATTTGGACAAATTGGCATCTGCAAAAATTGAAACCGTTTCAACTCAACTCATTTTGTTGGTATGTGGGACATATGACTGCATTTCGTAGCCGGCAATGGCCCGGCAGTTTCTAAACTAACATCTACAGGTGAGTGATCAACTCTGTATGAGCAATAATGTGTTGTGACCCATGTGGAACCCACTTGGCAAAACCCGGCCAGTTGCATCACTTCGACCACCCTGAACCCACTGTGGATCTTGTTGGCGGGGATGTTGTTCAAGCACTGCGCTGTCTGGGCAGACTTCACTATGTACTGGCAGGTGTGGTATAGGTGGGTTATTGCAGCTTTATCATTTAATGGATTGTGTTATCCATGCGAAAAGCCAATCGGATAAACATGGTATCATGATCCATAAACATGCAAATGATGTAACTTAACTATTTCCATGGTGAATACATCGATGCAATGTCTGCTTGTTCAATTGGCTTACTTTCCCAAAACGTTTGAGTAGGGTATTCTTAATGTGTTGGTGATTGTGTAGGTCTGTTGTAATATATGATATATGGACAGGTCACTGCAACACCATAATTTTATGTCATTCAACGACATTACCTCTCAAACATTGATTATTCTAAAGCTAAGAATGACATTACAGGACATATTAAAGATGTTACTACCCTCGTGTATTTCCGTAACAAAGAGCAAAGACCCAATCTCTATGTCAGCTGCGTAAAACAACATCAACTAGTTTTTTTAGAGCGAAATATAAATATTTATTCTTCAATCAAGGTTTCTGAAAAGGGTCTTTGAAGAAAACATTTGTAATTTATGATCTGATGGCAAGGAAGCAATAAATGAACACATGACATACTGATAATTATAGGGGAGTGAGTGAGTTGGGTTTAACGCCGCTTTTAACAGTCTTCCAGTTGCATGGTGCTGACAAACATAGAAACCATCAGTGTCTGGCGAACCCCAGGGACGCAACTCTGCATAACGAATCGCGGCGCCAAAGACGACTGGACGAATCCGATTTCGTTAATAACCTCTTACGACAAGCATAGTTGCCTTTTATGGCAAGTTTGAGTTGCTAAGGACTTATTCTACGCCGGATCTTCAAAGGTCGTACAAAGATATACATGCATAAAAAACCTTACCACTCAACTTGTCAACTCCGGCACAGATAAGTGGCCTGGTGATGTTGTCACACAGGAATGTAACAGCGACGGCTCCAAAGTGATCGGCTGTGACATTCAAGGGCTGGGCTAGGACAGCGTCAGTGACATTGCCCATTGTCTGTTTCTCTAGGAGTGTGTTGGTAATGCGTCCAGTCGTCAGAGTAAATCCAGCTTGTTGAGAACAGTAGTAGTTCTGGATGTCAGCTGTCAGAGTGAGATTAGTGCCAGGTTCCAGGGCGTTGGTGTCCCTGTCGCTGCTGATGTTGCACTGTGGCAGTGCTGGTTGCAATAAATAGACAGATAAAATCAGATATTAGCTTCCTGAGGATCATGCATAAAAATAGAAAGAACGAAATACTTTGACAATGCACATACATATATTGGTTCAAATAACATGAAATGAGATGTAATGTAATCAATATACAAATATGAAACATAATTATCCTTAGTAGTTCGTTATTAGAGATGCTATGTATTGTGCAGATAGACTGGTCATGTTTAACTTGCAGAACAAGATTTCTTCCCCTAGCTTTGGTAGGATTCGAAGATCATTGGTTTGAATCCCAGATAAGTCTCTTGTGATCAGTGGTTTGTCGGTACCACATCCGTGCTCGCAGGTTTCACCCAACTGGTAAGCGGCCAAAACTTGTGTCACTTCAGAAAAGTGTAAAGGCAAACTCGCTGACTCGGACATAACTCATGTTGTACGGTAAAACTGACTTGTGTCCCTTCATGATTTCCTTCCATACCAGGCTGTTACGCAATGATATTACTGGCATATTGTTAAAAGAGGTGTTAAACCAAACTCGCTAACTCAGATCTTTACAGTAAAATGACTTTTCTACCCACTTTTTAGAAGCTTCTGAACACCATTACAAGTTAGAGTCCAACTTCTGTCACATATGAAGTCCAACGTCACATCACCTAATCGGGTGATATCTATGTTGAAGGTTGTGTTAAGGGTTACGTCTGATACAGCACTGACGTTGTGTTTCATGATCAATGCTTCAGTCACAGCACCAGTAGTCAGATCAAAGCCCGCCTCCCGAGAACAGTAGTCGCGTGTGATGTCCACTGTTAAAGTCAGCTGTGCTCCAGGTTGTAGGGAGTCAGTGTCCTCGTCACTGCTGATGCCACACTGTGGGATCCCTGGTGGCAGAATTATGTGAAGAAAATGATTTAACAACACAACACTGACATGTTTGTGAAAGGGAGTGGGTCGTATAATAACAGCATCCATTGATCACTTATGCAATCACTAAAGGCTGGTGTAACACAATTATTATTCCCAACATACATGTAAGACATATGAGAAACGAAAACACACTAATATCCATACTTCCGAAAAACAATATGATGAAATAATAGTCAAGGTGTAATGACGATAAATGTGTGTAAAAATTAATTTCGGGCGTGAACATCAGTGTCTTGTGTCTTCACAATGTTGAGCGATGCTGTTGGTTAATTTGGATATGGCTGTCCTTGGTACTGCGCGCCGCAGATTTTCTACAAACGCAGGTGCTGCGTCTCTCTGCCAAAGAACATCCTGAAAATGCTCTTTTGGGGACATGTCATCCAAATATCCGTATGCTGTCTCTTGGGGTCAATCGGAGACGACCTGGGCACAATGTGGTCTGATAATTCAAATTTTCTGCCGATAATTCCCACGAATGTATCAACGACAGGACGCAAAATTTTGTTGGCCAGTCAAATGTCCATTAACAATTTTGTAACCAAATCAGTTTGCCTGTAATGTGTGATACCGCCCTACATCATGACACTACCACAGAGAGACGGGAATGTTGACGGAAGATGATGATATTCGCCTTCCTGTCATTGTACGGAATTATATATTTATAACAAGAGCAGATTTGAATCTATTGCGTAGTGTTATTAATGTGACAAGACGATGTTTCTAGGTGTCGCATTGACGGCCGTTTGATAGTACATGTCCTTCATGCGAGCAAAACACTTTTTGATTTGCCAAATATTTTTGATAATAATGACATATACTTTGAATATTTTAAGAGCCTGGTAGCTCAATTGCATTAGTGATTGTGTGTTCCCCTTTTAGCTCACACGCTTTGGCTTCTGTGTGCACGTGCATCACACCCTCTTCATGCATGATGTGAAATTTACTTGTGATTAGATGATGCGTTCAGATGCATCGCCCACGGTAATGTGAATATGCACATCAATGATACCTACATTCCAGTCATTCCTTCCCTATATTTATGATTGTAAGTAATTGATGACCTTAAGCAACAAGGGTAAGCCTGTATGTTTCCTAAGTCTTAAGGTACATATAGTTCCGTGGTTGTTAATTACTTCATCTTGGGTAATAAAGACACCAGTCCCATCAAGACCTGAATTAACAGGTCATTGTAGTCTGAATTAATACTTTAGAGATTATAACATGGCCACATTTGTCCTTTTGCATTATCTTTTATATTGCTTGACTCATCTCAGTGATTAGGGCTCATGATATCCATTAATTCACAAATATTTTCTAGACTTCCATGACGTTATACTCACCAGCTACTATCAGCGGACACACATCGACACCGATGGCACCCACTACATTCGCATCCACGATCTTCCAGGTACCAGCATCTGCCGCCCCAACACTGTGTATAGTGAGTGTAGAGTGTGTGTCGTTTATAGTTGCCCTGTATCCAGCCACAGGGCTACAGCTGGGGTTGCAGGTGACGACATATCGGTTATCAGATGGTCGTGCCCATATAAAGGCTGTGTAGTTGCTTCTGTCACCTACTATTGTGTATTCTGATCCAAGAAGAGCCACTCCTCCAGGGCAGTCTGTGTCCATCAGAGCTGTAACTTAGAAGAGAGTTTTACTGTTATTACTACTATTAGTACTGTTACTGATGTTGCCGGGGCTACTGTTAATCTCACAATATATACATCGCATATACCATGGGGTTCAGGAATAAAAAAGGTTGTCAGGCGCACAGTGACTTGGTTGATAGCGTGTCATCGTTTCCCGATAACATGGATCGTTGTACACAATAACGGTCACTGGATTGTCTGGTAAATTTATCTATTGGAGTGTGGCGTTAAAGAAAGAAAGAAGGAAACAAACAGACCTCACACATAAAACAGCTACTTATCAAAACGAGCGAGTGAGTGAGTAAAAATTTGACATCGAATCGGCAATATTACAGCCATATCGCGATGAGAACAAGTTAGTTATAGTTAAATACCTGTAGACAAAGGAGAGTGAAAGAGTAGCTACCCTTTCGTGGACAATAATAATAATCAGTTCAAGAAAACAATGAATGTCAACACAAAAACACATCGTAATAAATATTATGAACTTTGAAATGACAAAATACCTGTAGTCATCTTAAATACAGTGGTTGAATATAAAATAGCAATAATGTGCAAGCAATACGCTTGTAAAATATAACAAACTTGTGAGAACACATATGAAATCGTCAACTTTAGCCTCAATGTTGTTGGGTAGATGATGCATTTTGTATGTATTTGAACGTGGATTTGGACATATACTGTTGTCCATCCTCGGCGTTTAAAGCAGCGATCTGTGATGGAGGTTTCTGTTGGCATTGCAGTGGTATGTTTTACTGTTCCATCTACCTCATTCGCCAACTGACCGCCTCCGTGGTCTAGTGGTAGAGCGTCTGCCAGGAGAGAGGAAGGTCCGGGGTTCGATCCCAGGCCGCGTCATACCAAAATACGTTAAAAAGATGTACTTGTTGTTACCATTGTTGTTACCCTAAAACAGGGACTGGTTGGCTCGGAGTCTGTATACTGTGTCTGAATGGGGTAATCATTTTAAACTGCGGCATGGTATCGAGCACTATAAATCGGCATCAGTCGGGACTAGTACAATAAGGCCACACACATGCGTGCATGCACGGCGCTGCATCAACGGCTAAGAGACGAACTATGTATAGAACATATACGTAAATGAGATTCATGTGTCAAAGTTTATAACGAGATGCTAGCATCATATTTACAATACAGACGTACAATCACTTCAAACGCAGTAACTTCTCCGCACAAGGATTCCCTCTGCTGGAAAACATGCAAGTTTCACAACAGCATTCTTCATTACACAGACATACAGGTTAAATACAAAACACGTGCGGGTTCTTTAATGTCACAGTCGGCTTTTTTCAAATTGCGTGAGTGTGTTCAAATATTACATCGCATCGGCAATATTTCAGCCATATTGCAAAGTAAAAAAAAAAGATAGCCATTTTTTAAAAATAGACATTGAATGATAATAGTTTCCCTTGTGAGAGAAAAGTCAATATCCAAGGCATATCATAGTAGATTAGTAAGGGTGTGCAAATTTTCCTTAAATACTTTGGCATTTCATTTATCATGTTTTTCTTAACAAAAAGTAAATTATCAGCTAATTATGAATATTATTAATACCAATTATTTTATCGAGAACTGAGCAATAACAGCCACATGTGGTATCTACAAGGGCTTCTAATGGAATGGAATGGAAAACTCCAGAGTGAGTGAGTGAATGTTGTTTCATGTTAATCTTCTTTCAATCATTCATATTTTCGAATCAGAGACTTGCACCGAGTTTGCTACCGTGCTTTTACAAAACTACTGCTCATGCGGTATTCAACTTACCCACCATATGATCATTGTGAAGGAATACGTATAAACTGTGCTTACCATGGGTAAAACACACCGCAAGGTTAAGCAGAACCAGAATTAGATTTCTTCTATGCATCATTGTCATTGAAACATCCACTGAAAAATAAAATGAGTGAGTGAGTTCGGTTGAACGTGTTTCAACTATATGACGGCGTGAGATGTAGGTATTATGCATTTACCACTTTTGGAGAAACTCACGACCACAAGTATGACGCTGACAAATCTGAGAGCTTAATCAGGGTGAACCGGGATTCCAACCTATGAATGTTTGTCTGTGAAAGCAACTTGAGTCTGTGGACAAGTGGCCGACTGGTAAACAACATGGTTACACTGGATTTAAAGCCAAGATGTTATTTAACAAATAACCACCTTTTTCGTCTCCATGCAAATTAACGAAATAGACATTTAAAAAATAAATGGCTTATCTATTGTTTGATCGTTCGAAAATAACCATGAATTGTTTTTTGCACATCAGATGTGTATAATCTCACGTGCATCCTCGTTTGCTCCAAACTCAAACATTAAACTACCTTCGACAAGCCTCGAATATTGTACATAAATCAACTCCTCTTGATATATTTGACTTTTTATGACACTCGGGTGACAAATGCGCTGACAACGACAGACTGTGATATTGCATTACAAATACATTGACAATGACAGGCTGTGATATTGCATTACAAATACGTTGACAATGACATGCTGTGACATTCGCGAATGACTGTGCAGAGTTGCGTCCCTTGGTCACAACAGAAACCTATGATCGTGGGTTCGAATCCCGGTCCACCTACCCCCCCCCCCCCCCCTCCGATTATGTTTCTAGGTAGGTTTGTTAGCACCATACCAATGCTCGTTGGTTTCACCGAAGTGGTAAACGTCTAAGACCTGCATCACTTCGGGCTTTCCTCCCACATTAAGCTGACACGCTTAGTGTTAAAAGTGGCATAAAACCCAAATCATTCACTCATGTCAACTTCATCAGTTTAGAAAAGACTGAATTTCAGAGTGTCTTCTTGCAAATGCAATAATGCCAGGTGGAGATATGGACATGTATTCTGCTCTTGTGCTATTCAGGAACAATTTCCAGTTTAGTTGAGCCAGCTCTTGTCAAGTACACCACGATAAACAAAGCATTTCGTGCCCTCACATAAACAGCCTTATCCACGTTGTTTTTCAATTTCAATTCAACTTGACTTCAATCCCTAGTGCCCGCAATGCCCCAGCTTTGTTATCGCTGCCCTGTTGAAGGTCTGATGGCTACACTCTCCTCGACGTTAGAGGTAAAAACTCTACTATACAGGTGTGATTTGAGTTTAGAGAAGTGACAAAAGTCAGCGGTGGTGAATGTGGTGGAAACGCAAAGACACAATTTGCTACTGAAACCATTGCCACGTATATGCACATGCACATTGTTCTTTACCAGTAGAGCATATTATGAACGGAGCTCTCCTTGGCGTTTTTCTTTGACTTTATTATCTGACGTAGTATTCCATGTTGCTAGTTTTTGCTCGTCAGTTGTCAAATGACATCACCAGCTTATACACATTTTTGGTGGGATTGGGGCCACATATCTCCACTTCTTGCTCGTGATATACACATGTCTTATTCTTGATCACAATTCGCATGAAAAAGGTCATAAAGTCCCTGGATTTGTTTCGTTGGGTCACCTTCTAATCTAGTGTCAACATGTCGGACACCTTGCAAACCGTTCCCTACAGTGGAATGTATCAGATCCCAGCAGTGTCATTGATACGTTGAATAGTAACATGTCGATTTAGCCATAACATGTGGTGGAGTGAGATTTGGCATGACGTCAATTTGGCGGATCCCCAGAACGAAGTCATCTTCTTTGCTGTTCTGCTTTTCTTCAGCTGTAGCCCATTCAACTTTTCAGTATGTTGGACAGTCATCCCCATGCATGCTTTCGTATATCTCTGGCGCGGTCGGGTAGCCAAGTGGTTAAAGCGTTCGCTCGTCACGCCGAAGACCCGGGTTCGATTCCCAACGTTGGTACTATGTGTGAAGCTGATTTCTGGTGTCCCCCGCCGTGATATTGCTGGAATATTACCAAAAGCGGCGTAAAACCATACTCACTCGCTCTTATATCTCCATATCTTCTTTGGTGAAATGCCCTATTTGGGCAGGTACACAATCACAGCTCATTTCTCAGATTTTTCTGTTTCCGAACTTTCTCTCACTGTCAACTTCTCCAGCTGACTTGTTGAAACCAGGTGTGGTGATCAGTGAAACCTTGTGTTTTGACATCCAATTGCTGAAAACTTACACTACAAAAAGAAATATCTGAAAGCCAACGGACTTTTCAATTTACCCTAGCGCCATGTAGGTTCTTTTGGAAATGAATTATTAGCTAATTAATTAGAATTTGTGTATGTTCATTTCGTGAGTTTCATAACTACACTTATGGTTTATTTGTTTGTTGTTTAACTCCGCACATAGCAATATTTCAGCTATTTGAGGACGGTCTGTAAATAATTGAGTCTGGACCATCCAGTGATTGATATTACTATCGATCCACGCAACTGGGATACGATGAAATGCCTCAACCAATCAGCGAGCCTGACCACCCGATCCCGTTATTCGCCTTTTACGAATATCATAGTTCCCTTTTAAGCATGGGTTGCTGAAGACCTACTCTACCCCGGATCTTCACTAGTGAGCATATTCTTTTTAAATTTTCCCTCTTTATTCATCTCAGCAGGTCGACATATATATATATACATGTCATGTCTATACAATTGTGGTACATTGTTTTTAAAAAATGTCATTTTTTCCATACAATTAAAAGTGTATCACTATGCAATTTTTAACAAAGTGTGGAAGGAAGACCAAAATCTAAAAAAGTTTGCATAGTTTCAATTTGTGAATGACATTACCTTTGTAGCATTGTAATAACTTTTAATCTCATGCTGTATGTGCTCAAAATGTGGCCTTAATCCTTTCCTGAATTGTCTGCATATTATTAAAAGTACAATTTTCAATGGGTTGTGTTTGCCTTGAAATCCAAACAAAACATTTTCTCTGTTTAAATCAATGGTTCCTTCCACAGCAGATTTTAGCCAGATATACAGCCTATACAGTGAGCATTTTGCTCTTAGTGACTGCTTTCTTACTTGTAGAGTTAGCTAAGTGCTGATAACCTTACCTTCTCAAATTCAGAAACTTGTGTGACTGATGCCCGTCGAAGGTGTTTATGAACATATTATATTGATCAAACATATTTGTATATTAGATAAAAATAAATAACTCACAAATTGTGTACTCCAACATCAACCATCCGACATCTCTACACTGTGGTCCACCTCATGAGGAAGTGCAGTCTACAGGGACAAGCTAGCATAAAATAACTCCTTGTGTGACTTTCACTGTTATCTGTAAATAAGTGACCCTTCGGTCCTGTACAAACGTGGTGTGATGCTCATGTTATCAGAGTGAGTGAGTGAGTGAGTGAGTGAGTAAGTGAGTGAGTGAGTTAAGTGAAAGAGAATAGTTTGGTTCTGTGACAATACAATGCTGGATAATAATGTGGCGAGATGTCATCTGATTTTGGCGTCACTATTTGACAGATTGACGCTGAGGGTCATGGACAGAAATGTGTATAGCAAGCTAATGAGGACAATAAACAAGGCCTCTTCAAGAATAGTTGTGTGGCTACACTCATGTCACCAGAAGGGACAAGAGCCAACTACTCAGTACGCATTTCTGGTGTCAAGTGAAAAATAGTTGTGTCGATCGGGAGTAGATTGCCCGATTTGGAGTAGAGCAGGCCTTGCGGATTGCAGTTGCACAGTGCTTCTGACGACCACCTGATGCAAAACATGGTCCCGTGGTACGTGACGTGATAAAACGCTCTTTACTAAACTTGTATTATTAGTCAACAGGTTTTCTCTTCACGGGTGAGTTATAAATAGAGGTTATAATATTCTGCATTTGGAATAAACATTGTATCTTTTATCCTTGCCGAGCTAAATACACAGTGTTTATTCCTAATATACAGGACATTTACCATCGCCTAACACACAAGCTTTGATAACCTCTTTCTCATATTATGTCATTCTTCAATTCTGTCCTCGAAATCTCTCTTCCCATCTCTCACAAACATTACCCAAACATTGAAAGTGTTCCCGGTGAGTGAGTGAGTTGGGTTTAACGCCGCTTTTAACAGTATTCAAGTTATATCACGTCAGCTTAATGTGGAAGGAAAGCCCGAAATGATCCATGTCTCAAGACGTTCACCACTTCGGTGAAACCCATGAGCACGGGTATGGTGATGACAAACCTAGAAACATATTCGGGGTGAACCTGGATTCGTACCCACGATCATAGGTTTCTGGCGCGCCCAAGGTCGAAAGTGTTCCTGGAATGTGCGCAATACTATATATTACGTGAGAAGGTTAGCCACGTGTCCGTCAGACAGCGACGACAATCAATGTAGTTCCATTTGGAACCTCTTTCTTTTACAGTAGCGTAACAACAAAAAGGCAAATCAACAATTGCCTTCACAAATTGTTTCTCTTTTCCTTTCGTGACAGTCCACTGGTCAGAATAACTGGCCTTCATCAAAGGGAAGTTGATCCAACCCTAGTCTATGAAATTCCACGTTTGTTTAGAGTCTGCCTGTCCTGTCATAACGTTACGAAGTGCAGTCAGATGAACACACATCAACTAAACGAAACAAGGTAACAATTCCTACATATTTCGGCGAAATCCTACTGTGTTAGTGTGGGAGAAATGTTCCAATCCACAGGGGTCTGCAAGCAGAGGTATTGAAATGGATCCTGCTGCTGGTGCTAGGCTAGTGTCCTCGCCCAATTGTTTCACAATTTATATCTCCAAAGTTCCCAAAACGTGTAACATACCACAGATACGTCACAGTAATACACTGATATTCAGGATATTAGACTCTTTCTTTGATAATGACAGAAAATTATTCCAGTAGTTTATCCGGATTCCTGATGGTTAATTGTGATTCGATCGGCGAAAGTTCCTACTTGCCCTTTGATATTTTCATTACTATCCGCACATGAAGCCAATGGATATCGCTTTTATTCGCTGGCTTTATCAGCTGCATTCTTAATTTTGTTTTGCTTTCATGTTATGTTTCGTCCGACTCTCTGAAGATGAATTTTGACATGAATAGCACAAAAAAACCAATGTACGTCCCCCCCAAAAAAATGTGTATATAGATGACTGTCTACAAAAAACAGGGGACCTGATGAAATGATAGTGAAGGTGTAATGAGGCTAAATGTCAAAAAAGAAATTCGGGCGTGTAGATCAATATCTGGCGTGTCCACCATGTTGGGCGGTACTTGCACGACACCTTGATGGCATACTGTTGATGAACTTGCGTACGGTCGTCCTTGGTATTGTCCTCCATTCCGCCTGAAGAGCTACCCAAAGCTGGGCCACGTTGATAGGTGCTTGGTCTCTGTACTTTAGTCCCGACTTGAGAACATTCCACAGATGCTCTATCCCAGGGGACTAAGCTGGCAAGTCCAATGACCGAATGCCTTCTAGTCGTAGATAATCGGTGACGAACTGTGCACGATCTTGGAGTTCTGACGAAAATTCTTGAGAAAAGGACAATGACAGGTTACGTTGCAAAATGTCTTATATTGTATTTTAAACAGTATTATCGCCTTGTTGTCAACACCGTATCCATGTTATCCCACTCATAAATGTAATTGTTGTTACTGTTAATCCTCCACCTACTATATATATTCTGTACTTAGTCCCTCATTCAGTCTTGCTTGACAACGGTATAAGGATCTATACCAAAACGTCGCTTTTTACAGGATTGTTATCCATAAAAATTTGTCTACCTTGCAAAATGTCGTCAACATGCTGGTGGCCAGTCAAATGTCCAGTTCCCAAAAAACACAAATCTGTTCGTTTATCATATGTGACACCGCCCCAAACCATGACACAACCACCCCGTACTGATCATACTACTACTTCCAAAAAAGCGTGTTCTTCTATCTGAGTCGGAACCACTTGCGCGCAGCCCGTCCCTGCTTTTGCCTAGTCCACCCCAATCCATGCCGCCTATGGTATGCTTTCAGGCGGCCTCACCTCACCTCAAATCAGCTCACCTCACCTCACCTCACCTCACCTCACCTCAACTCTCTTGTACCAATAATTCGAAATTTCATTGTGCTTAGATGTTGTGTTTAGATGCAACGCCACGGTTGTGAAAATGTACACCTTAACCATAGCTACATTTAAATCATGAGTTGCTTTATTTTTGTACTATACAGGAAATATGCCCTGTCTGTTGGACAAAGGCTTGAAGAAGCAATGAGAAGGAGTGTCTCGTCTTCAAGAAGAAAACATCAGCTTTATTCTTTTGAGTTAATTTAAGACACTTCTTTGTCAAGCCTCGACTCAAGACATTGAAGCATGGGCCGATGAGCTCAGTCGTATTCTAAAGCAGGGGAAGTAACTCCTGTGGGCTTACGAAAGTCATGTTGGGCATGTGCAGGGATGAGGTGCAAACTCACAGAATTAGATCAAGAAGAGCGTGAGGTAGTTGGTCCCGTGGATCACCAGCTTTTGATTTCCACATATCGAGTCAAACCCTTTCCTGGTGCCCCGTTCGTGGCATTGGATCAATACAGCGGAATCGGCGAAGAAATAATTGTTTTTTTCAAGGAGAATAGTCGAAGTGATGACCCTACTTACAAAGATTAGCTTGTAAAATACTGTGGTGACAAGACCATATACTTGTTCAAATAGGCTTCTGAATGGACCGGGTGGTCAGACTCACTGATTTGGTTGATTGTGTGTGATCATATCCCGACAGGCGTCGGACGTTCCTCATACTGTCAATCCCTAGTTTGACAGGCCTTCGTCACATAGTTATGACAATTTTAAGCATGGCGGTAAACAATAAACATACAAACAATGCCCTGTAAGGGGCAATGGGTCCTACAGTCATGAAAGGCGCCGCGATTGGCTGTGCTGCTTTGTGTCCCTTACCATGATCCAAAGATGGCAATGGATTCCAGATCCTCTCAGATTATGGTTTTTCATTGGTCAGCGTCATATGTGTGATCTATGTTGACCGAGAGATAACATCGCTATATTAAGGTCGAGATTTTTTATTGAGGTTGAATATACTTTTTCAAGCAGATGATTGTTGGTGTATGTTTTTACACAAAATAATGAGCTTTGTGGTTTTGTTTCGTTTGCCCCATGCTCTCGCGTTCTCGTTTCGTGTTATTGCTTTTTAGCATCCGAAATGGAATTCAATAACGCAATGTCCCCTCCCAGCCACAATTATGATCATTGGTTTCAGGAAAGAACTTCCACATGAAGGTGAATGCATTCATAAAGTTTAAGTACATTTCAAAGCCCGTTAGCTTCCTAGATAGAAATAATATTTTGCAATAGTTTTTCCTCATATCAATTTCACCCTAGACATGCGGCATATCAATACATATTTGTGATGCCCTTACTCATTTACAGCAGGTGCGCTCCCCAAAAACCTGCTCATTGAAACTCCTTGATAACTGTAGAGCTCACATGTACTTCAAACCTGTCAGAACAGGCTACCAGCAGCTTAATGCTGGTAGTTAGGGGTGGGTGCTTGTAAGAGACGACTAACGGGATCAGGTGGTCAGGCTCGCTGACTTGGTAGCTGCATGCAGATTATGTTTTCACTCTCTGATTATTTAAAGATTTGATATAGTTGGAATCCGGTGTTAACAAACGAACATACATGTAGCCGCACCATGCCCCCTGTTTAATACACCTGGAATATTGCCGAATGCAGTGTGAACAAACGAATACAGCCAGGCTATCCCCTCCTTGATAGAGGTGGAATATTACTGACAGCTGTGTTAACAAACAGACACAACTGCACCTTGTCCCTTTGTGATGCTTGATCAAACAAAACATATCTAGTTCACATCACCCTCGATTATCCAGTGTAATATGCCCCCTTTCAGTTATAATTAAAGACACGGCCACATTCGGTACTACAGCTTCCTTATGAGCCCCAAAATACGAAAGCCTAATGGTGCCACTTTGGTGCCAGTTCTTTTTTTGGTTATAATCAAAATTTCTTGTTATTTCAAATATTTTCTCTCGGTACTTCGATTGGTTTCTCGTAACTGCAATTAGTTTTTCGTTATTTCAGTTTTATCTCAAGAACGCGAAATTTCTATTTAAAAATCAACAACTTGATTGGGATTTCGCACGACGAGGCTTTCGTACCAAATAGCCTTCCAAGTAAATACCAAGTGATGGTTGACGAACACCGTCGAGATAATGTAACACATCATGTTGCACTATCTTACTGTCATTTATGACATATTTTTCCACGTGACCACTTCATCCCAGACACAATTCATGTAGTTTTAGTACGCCCTAAATCATGTACAGTAGCAACGCTCCTCACATTGATGTCTAAATGTAGTGTACATTGACACTCGTCGATTACTTTACGAGAAACAACTCCCTTCTCAAACAACATAGCTTACATTTTGATTCGCTGAATATGGCTTATAATTGAGAGTTTTGGGAAGTGTGGAGAAGGAATTGACCTATTTTCCGATCAGATTGTAATAATTACAATGAATATACAAACTATATGTCTGTATCTGAGTATAAACAAAACATAGGGAACACACAAAATTGATTTGAAATTGAATGTTATTAATGGTTATGTTATAAACAAAGCACATGAGGAAAATACAGTCAATTAGCTTCAGACGTTGTAAACATTGACTCCTATTATGCCATATATGTCTACAATAAGAAAGGAAATATCAAACAAACATGATTGACACATACTTGACATGCTCATCTGTGTAGTCGGGGATAGTTTATGAAAAAACACATCCTGGTCTCAATTACAATGCCTCGTTCGTGCATTTCGATTCCCACAATGGATGCAATGACATATGGCTGGAATATTGCTAAAAGTGTCGTAAAAACATATTCAATCACTCACACATTCCTTATGTTGAACTATTCCTTATCTTCCCAGCCGTCCTTATATTAAACACGTGGAAACTATTTGTTTTAAACTGAATCACGAGTAAGTTCTCTTAATCAGTTATTTGACATGGAACATTTCAAAATGCGTAATAGTTTTAACATTTCAACCGTCTTCAGTCACTTTTGAAATATGTAATTGAGTGGTCCTTCCTCCTATTCTATGCCGATAGCGGACAATGAGGACGACAGCAATTATAAGTAAGACGGCAAGCAGAGACAGTCCGATAGCAAGGCCTAGAGTAGCATCAGTTGGAGTGTCTGTGTCTTCAGTAGCAGTGGGTCTGTTGGAGGTGGACGTCGGCCTGTTGGAGGTAGACGTTGTACCATCTAAAAAATGAAATTGTCAGTCATGAATGAATGAACAACATAATTAATAGCGATAAAGAGATTGGGTGGAGTAGTTTTCTAATGTAGCCTATTAGCTATTCTTTAGGCTGATTTACTGATGTATTCACAAGTGATGGAGGAATGTAGAGTGTATCCACGCCGTGGTGTATTGACATACAACCTCAAGCACCGTATGCATTCCCGGTACATTAGCTCCTTGGAGTATTGTGAGGTACTAACGATAGATTGAGCTTGGACCAGGCAAACAAGTTACTGGTTAATGAATTCACTGGTAACGCCCATTTCAAGGTTCGATTCCCCAAATGGATACAATGCTTGAAGCCGCCATCATAGTGCTGGAATACTTGAGAAAAAAATAGTTCACAAATGCACGCAATGTCAACTAAATTGGTCACGAAAACATAAACAAATATACCGACGATGGTAATTAAGAAATATGTATTCATGTTGCCGAAAGGCTTTGTTATGTGAAGTGATGTAAAGTGGGATTTAACGTCCAATAAGATTTCGGCATTTGGATAACAATGTGCATGCACGTGTGTGTGCATGGCTGCTTGTACTGGTCCTGACTAACGCCGGTTATATATAGCTAGCTCACTGAGATAATATTCCACAGGTTAACGTGGATACTCCACTCACACAAAGTATAATAACCAGAGCCAAACAGTTCGTGTTTCGACCCGTGAAGATCCGGGTAAGAATAGGCTTTCAGCAACCCATGCTTGCTGCAAAAGGCGACTATGCTTGTGGTAAGAGGCGACTAACGGATCGGGTGATCAGACTCGCTGAGTTGGCTGAAGCATGTCATCGATCCCGATTGCGTGAATCTATGTTCATGATGTCAATCACTGGATTGTCTGGTCCAGCCTCGATTATTAACAGACCGCCGTCATATAGATGGATTATTGATGAGTGCGGCGTAAAACAACAAACAAACAACCAGTTCGTGTTTCAGCCTTTTTTATGCCGAGCGTCATGCAGACAGGATGCCATCTGTTAACGTCATATATTATGACGCTGCCTCATCTGAAACACAGACCTTCTGCTTTTCTTTTCACTAATATCTTGTCTACCATAGATCTGGCGTATGCAAAAAATAGAGACGAGCATGCTGGGGTTACATGAAAATTGAGAGAATTGGTGCTATCTTTCTTAACTCAGTTTATAGATACATATAAACACTGACCACTCAACCTCTCAACTCCAGCACAGATAAGAGGTCTGGTGATGCTGTCACACATAAATGTGACGGTGACGTCTCCGAAGTGATCAGCCGTGACCGTCAAGGGCTGGGCTAGGACAACGTCAGTGATATTGTCCATTGTCTGGTTCTCCAGGAGTATATTTGTAACGGCACCAGTAGTCAGTGTAAATCCAGCTTGTTGAGAACAGTAGTAGTTCCGGATGTCAGCTGTCAGAGTGAGATTAGTGCCAGGTTCCAGGGCGTTGGTGTCCATGTCGCTGCTGATGTTGCACTGTGGTGGACCTGGTTGAAGTAAATTAAAGCAGATATAAAAGTTTTCCTGAGAATCAGACATCATATATAAAAGAAGAAACAGCAAAAAACCATGACAATCCACACTCAAATCATGAAGTAAAAGGCGACTATGCTTGTCGTAAGAGGCGACTAACGGGATCAGGTGGTCAGGCTCGCCGACTTGGTTGATGCACGTCATCGATCGTATCCCAAATGCGGAGATCTATGCTCATGATGTCAATCACTGGATTATCTTGTCCAGATTCGATCATTTACAGGCCGCCGTCATATATCTGGAATATTTTTGAGTGCAGCGTTAAACAACAAACAAAAGCATGTTGTGATGAAAATAGCATGACATAAAATATGTTGTTAGATGGAAAATGGAAATAAGGAAGAAACTTATACTCAGTAGTTCACATTTAAAAAGGACATTGTGCTGATAGCCTGGTCGTGCGTACTGTGCATACCCAGATTGCGTCCCGTAGCATTGACAGGATTCGATGATTATTGGCTTGAATCCCTTATTCCCCTCAGTGATCAGCCTTATGATCAGTTGTTCGTCGGTACCCTACCCGTGCACGCTGGTTGCACCAAAGTGGTAAACGGCCAAGACATGTCTCACTTCAGGATTTCCTCCCACATCATTCTGTTAACACTGATATGACTAAAATATTGTTAAATAAGACGTTAAACCAACTAAGATGTGTTTCGTGTTGTACGGTGAAAATGACTTGTGTCACTTAATGATTTCCTTCCATACCAGGCTGTTACGCAGTGATATTACTGACATATTGTTAAAAGAGGCGTTTAACCAAACTCGCTGACTCAAATCTTTCATGCTGTACATTAAAAGGACTTTTCCACCCACTTTTCAGTAGCTTCTGAACATCGTCACAACTAAGAGTCCAACTTCTGTCACATATGAAGTCCATCGACACATCGCCTAATCGGGTAATATCTACGCTGAAGGTTGTGTTGAGGGTCAAGTTTGATACAGCACTGACGTTGTGTTTCGTGGTCAACGCTTCAGTCACAGCACCAGTAGTCAGATCAAAGCCCGCCTCCCGAGAACAGTAGTAGCCTGTGATGTCCACTGTTAAAGTCAGCTGTGCTCCAGGTTCCAGGGAGTCAGTGTCCTCGTCACTGCTGATGCCACAGTGTGGAACATCTGGTGGCAGAATTATGTGAAGAAAGTGATTTAACAACACAAAACTGACTTATAGTCTTCCACTATAACACCATCGATTAATTATTAGATTGATTATAAATGCATTTGCATTTTTGTTTTGTTTGTTACACTTATAGGGAATATTTACTTTCTACATTTCAAACATTAAATATCATTCTGCAATGTGTGCAGAATGATTCGGTGGCAAAGATAATTGATGTTTGTATACCAAGTTTCATATGGATATATAGTTCCAAACAATCAGTTCCAGTTTGCAGTGTCAATGCTTCACAACATTTGGCAGTTTTTATGACATTTCACGCTCAGAAGTATTGCCATGGTAGCCTTAAACTTGGACACATTACAAGAAAGCATGTTTTGTAACGTTTGCTCGTGGATCCGTTATAAATATTTTAGCCTTTGTTGAAATACTCACCTGTGCTGTCACTATTTTAGATACATTTATTAAATGTCGTGAATGCTCACACATTTGAAAACAATATTTGAACCAGTGATCACCTAGAACAACATAATATCATAAGCATAATGCTGTACGTTTTAAATATATTTTTTACCCAGGTCTCAAGTTAGACATAGTGAATGTTTTTCTTCCCCTTTGGACAATCATAATTTTGACATAGCAATGCACCACTTGCGGCAGGCCAAGGGATTAATGGCTTAGTGAAACTGGGAGTTAAAGGCATCAGTTCAACCGACACACGAATCAGCAGTTATTTCCGGCAAGAATTAATACTTCCGATTAGATGATAATATGGCTTTTTGTCCCTGCCGGTGAAACGTTATAAAGCGTTTCCACTATCTCTCCATCAGGAGCTAATGCTGCCTCACCTAAATCTCTATATAAATCACCTCGGCGACGAGTACCTAGATTTTCATGTCTTTATGCTCACCGGCTGCCGTCAATTGACACACGTCCACAGAGACGACATCAGCGACATCTGCATCCTGTATCCTCCAAGTACCAGCGTCTGACAACCCGACACTGTCTATAGTAAGTGTAGTGTGTGTTGAATTGAGTGTTGCACTATAGCCTCCAATACCACCGCAGTCCTCACTGCATATGACAACATTCCGGTCATCATTGGGCCGTACCCATATAAAACCTGTGTGGTTTCTTCTGTCACCTACTATCGAGTATTCTGATCCAAGAAGAACCAGTCCTCCAGGGCAGTCTGTGGCCGTCAGTGCTGTAACGTAGAAGAGAGTTGTACTGTAAATACTACTATCAGTAGCGTTACTGTCGTTGTTGGGGCTACAGTACGAGCTCACTATGTGTACTTTGTTTATACCCCCTGTAATTCCAGATTAAAACAGATCCCCGGGTACCTATGTTGGTTTGAGAGAGATGACGAAATGGATCCGTAGTCTGGCTCAATGATCTTGCTGATAGCGCGCCATCCTGCCCTGACGGCGTGGGTCGTCGTTTCCAATATCGATCCCCAGATCTCAGGCTTGTTTATTAAGACCGACGTCAATTAGCAATCAAATATTTCTAGGTATGGCAATGAAAAAACATACAAACCTAGCATATAATTTCAATTATTTACAAAGCGAACAATGGGTCATTCTTTCCTTGAAATAACAACAGAAGACCATGAGGACATCGTCGTGTACATGGGAAATGCATTGTTCGTGCAGTAATCTTATCCATATTGAAAAGAATAATAGTCGTCATGGAAATATATATGCTGTGTTTAAAATAGTACGAAACATGAACATGTCATTGTGTTAAACATGTATGTGTCATTGTCTTAAACATGTTTATGTCATTGTGTTAAACATGTTTATGTCAATGTGTTGAACATGTATATGTCATTGTGTTAAACATGTATATGTCATTGTGTTAAACATGAATATGTCATTATGTTAAACATGAATATGTCATTGTGTTAAACATCTATATGTCATTGTGTTAAACATGTATATGTCATTGTGTTAAACATGTATTTGTCATTGTGTTAAACTTTTATTTATCATTGTGTTAAACATGTATGTGTCATTATGTTAAACATGAATATGTCATTGCGTTAAACATATATGTCATTGTGTTAAACATGTATATGTCATAGTGTTAAACATCTATATGTCGTTATGTTAAACATGAATATGTCATTGTGTTAAACATCTATATGTCATTGTGTTAAACATGTATATATCATTGTGTTAAACATGTATTTGTCATTGTGTTAAACTTTTATTTATCATTGTGTAAAACATGTATGGGTCATTATGTTAAACATGAATATGTCATTGCGTTAAACATATATGTCATTGTGTTAAACATGTATATGTCATTGTGTTAAACATATATGTCATTGTGTTAAACATGTGTATGTCATTGTGTTAAATATATATATGTCATTGTGTTAAACATGCATATGTGGTTGTGTTAAACATGTATATGTCATTGTGTTAAACATCTATATGTCATTTGGTTAAACATGTTTTTGTCATTTTGTTAAACTTCTATTTGTCATTGTGTTAAACATGTATGTGTCATTGTGTTAAACATGAATATGTCATTGTGTTAAACATCTATATGTCATTGTGTTGAACATGTATGTGTCATTGTGTTAAACATTTATATGTCATTGTGTTAAACATGTACATGCCTTTTTGTTAAACATGTATATGTCATTGTGTTAAACATGCATATGTCATTGTGTTAAACATATTTGTCATTGTGTTAAACATGCATATGTGTTTGTGTTAAACATGTATATGTCATTGTGTTAAACATCTATATGTCATTTGGTTAAACATGTTTTTGTCATTTTGTTAAACTTCTATTTGTCATTGTGTTAAACATGTATGTGTCATTGTGTTAAACATGAATATGTCATTGTGTTAAACATCTATATGTCATTGTGTTGAACATGTATGTGTCATTGTGTTAAACCTTTATATGTCATTGTGTTAAACATGTACATGCCTTTTTGTTAAACATGTGTGTGTCATTGTGTTAAACATGTATATGTCATTGTGTTAAACATGTATGTGTCATTGTGTTAAACATGTATATGTCATTGTGTTAAACATGTATATGTCATTGTGTTAAACATGTACATGCCTTTTTGTTAAACATGTATATGTCATTGTGTGAAACATGCATATGTCATTGTGTTAAACATATTTGTCATTGTGTTAAACATGTGTATGTCATTGTGTTAAATATATATATGTCATTGTGTTAAACATGCATATGTGTTTGTGTTAAACATGTATATGTCATTGTGTTAAACATCTATATGTCATTTGGTTAAACATGTTTTTGTCATTTTGTTAAACTTCTATTTGTCATTGTGTTAAACATGTATGTGTCATTGTGTTAAACATGAATATGTCATTGTGTTAAACATCTATATGTCATTGTGTTGAACATGTATGTGTCATTGTGTTAAACCTTTATATGTCATTGTGTTAAACATGTACATGCCTTTTTGTTAAACATGTATATGTCATTATGTTAAACATGAATATGTCATTGTGTTAAACATGTGTGTGTCATTGTGTTAAACATGTATATGTCATTGTGTTAAACATGTATGTGTCATTGTGTTAAACATGTATATGTCTTTGTGTTAATCATCTATCTGTCATTGTGTTAAACATGTATGTGTCTTTGTGTTAAACATGTGTATGTCATTGTGTTAAACATGTATATGTCATTGTGTTAAACATGTATATGTCATTATGTTAAACATGAATATGTCATTGTGTTAAACATGTGTATGTGTTTGTGTTAAACATGTATATGTCATTGTGTTAAACATCTATATGTCATTTGGTTAAACATGTTTTTGTCATTTTGTTAAACTTCCATTTGTCCTTGTGTTTAACATGTATGTGTCATTGTGTTAAACATGAATATGTCATTGTGTTTAACATCTATATGTCATTGTGTTAAACATGTATATGTCATTGTGTTAAACATCTATATGTCATTTGGTTAAACATGTTTTTGTCATTTTGTTAAACTTCTATTTGTCATTGTGTTAAACATGTATGTGTCATTGTGTTAAACATGAATATGTCATTGTGTTAAACATCTATATGTCATTGTGTTGAACATGTATGTGTCATTGTGTTAAACATTTATATGTCATTGTGTTAAACATGTACATGCCTTTTTGTTAAACATGTATATGTCATTGTGTTAAACATGCATATGTCATTGTGTTAAACATATTTGTCATTGTGTTAAACATGTGTATGTCATTGTGTTAAATATATATATATGTCATTGTGTTAAACATGCATATGTGTTTGTGTTAAACATGTATATGTCATTGTGTTAAACATTTATATGTCATTTGGTTAAACATGTTTTTGTCATTTTGTTAAACTTCTATTTGTCATTGTGTTAAACATGTATGTGTCATTGTGTTAAACATGAATATGTCATTGTGTTAAACATCTATATGTCATTGTGTTGAACATGTATGTGTCATTGTGTTAAACCTTTATATGTCATTGTGTTAAACATGTACATGCCTTTTTGTTAAACATGTATATGTCATTGTGTTAAACATGTATATGTCATTGTGTTAAACATGTATATGTCATTGTGTTAAACATGTGTGTGTCATTGTGTTAAACATGTATATGTCATTGTGTTAAACATGTATGTGTCATTGTGTTAAACATGTATATGTCATTGTGTTAAACATGTATATGTCATTGTGTTAATCATCTATCTGTCATTGTGTTAAACATGTATGTGTCTTTGTGTTAAACATGTGTATGTCATTGTGTTAAACATGTATATGTCATTGTGTTAAACTTGTATATGTCATTATGTTAAACATGAATATGTCATTGTGTTAAACATGTGTATGTCATTGTGTTAAACATGTATATGTCATTGTGTTAAACATGTGTATGTCATTGTGTTAAACATGAGTGTGTCATTGTGTTAAACATGTGTATGTCATTGTGTTAAACATGTATATGTCATTGTGTTAAACATGTATACGTCATTATGTTAAACATGAATATGCCATTGTGTTAAACATGTGTATATCATTGTGTTAAACATGTTTATGTCATTATGTTAAACATGAATATGTCATTGTGTTAAAATGTATGTCATTGTGTTAAACATGTATATGTCATTGTGTTAAACATATATATGTCATTGTGTTAATCATCTATCTGTCATTGTGTTAAACATGTATATGTCATTGTGTTAAACTTTCATATGTTCTCAATAGCAACAACCACATATCAGGAGGAGGTTTGTCGTCAGCTCCTGGGCCAAATCAAATTGATTAAATTGGTAGGACCTATGAAACTGTGGGCTTTCATCCCACGCGAAGGAATATCGTGGGATTACACACATACATCTCATGCGGTCTTAAATAAAAGCCACAAAGCCGTTGTAAAGCAGGTGTTCACGGTAGGAGAGCGTATCGTGCCTCACAACATCATGAAAAATCAATGTATATGTTCCCCTGAAAAAAACACGAGGACATATGGTACAAACCACTACTGACTATGCTATAATTGTGAAGGTCATGCATTAAACGTGCTTACCATATTTAAATGAAACTGCAAAGTTGAACAGGACCATAATTAGATCTTTTCTGACCACCATTTTCTTAGAGACATCCACTGGAAACATAATATGAACAACTTGTCATGAAAGGCTGTGCTTCCACTATTACACAATGTGTGGTAACGGAGCAAACAGTTGTGAAGAACAGTGAGTGAGGGAGGGACTGAGTGGATTCAACAGCAAGGAAAGTGCGGGACATGCGATTCCCAAACTCCATGCAGGAAGCAAAGGCAATGTAAGTTCCGATAGTCCCTAGTGTGGTGATCTCCCTTCAGTGACCGACGATCTCTTCCCATTTTTATATTGTTTCATTAGTACTTACTGCTTTTGAATGTTCCCCAACTAGTTTGAAACCAAAACTGTGATATTCTAGTTATTGCACTGTCCATAGTTGACAGGTTTTTATTTAGTCTAAATGTATGTTTCATTGATGTATAACTTCTCGTCACGATATGAGTGAAAAACTGCCGATGTGACGTTAAATATTAACTCACTCACTCACTCAAATCCCAAACGTTATCTACGTTTAAAACCCACGAACGAGGGCATTCCGCTGCCAATAAAGGTGACAAAAACACATGTTCATAGCCCATGACGATCCCGACTATATCATGAATATTGTTGCACCAGTCATAAGTGCAGTGGATATGACAATGGAAAGAACAAAGATGATTGAATGTTCCCTGGTGAGATACGATAATACAAATATTCCTTTAATGGTCGGTTGGTTTGTTGTTTAACGCCGCACTCGGCAATATTCCAACTATATGACGGCGGTCTGTAAATAATCGAGTCTGGACCAGACCATCCACTGATTAATATCATGAGCATCGATCCACGCAATTGGGATCGATGACATGCATCAACGAGGTCAGCGAGCCTGACCACCCGATCCCATTAGTCGCCTCTTATGACAAGCATAGTCGCCTCTTACGACAAGCATAGTCGCCTTTTACAGCAAGCATGGGGTTGCTGAAGACCTAGTCTACCCCGGGTCTTCACGGGTTCCTTTAATGGAAGGAACATACGTTTGCAATGTGGTTTAACTATTGACGGCGACACTTCTGTGGGTATATCAAATGGTAACATTGAATAGATAGAACGACTATAAGTAGCCGCTTAAACAAAATGAACAAATGTTCTGAAGACTGGTTTCAAAAAAACACCGACATTCAACTTTAAAATTATTTGTGGGTGATACAAACATTGACAATGTTAAAACACAAACGTACATTGTCGTGATTTCATATTGAATCGCCGATGTGCGTCATCTTTGTTAACACTTTCGTACACATAAAAACAAAATCGTTTTTTTTTAATTCATCCTAAAACGTCCAGATTCCGCATGGTTTGAACTGTTTACATCATGTATTTGATCAACAATATTCAATCCTGATATGCAATGTATGACTACCATATTTTCTTTATAGTTGGCATTTAAATACATTGTTCTTTTTTTTTTAAGCATTGTGCAATCAGAAACTACATTGTATAGCTTCAGTTGAATGAACTTGGTCCGTGAAAACTAGACAGGTGCTTTAAGATATCACTAAACATGATACTTTAACATTTCTGGTTATGCAGACAATAATCTGTGCTCATTATATATACCTCGATCATCTGGTCTTCTAATCAGGGATTTGGATAATCTCACTGACCAGCTTCCCAAACGATTCTTGATTACTGGAGACTTAATGGTCACAAACCTTTATGTGGTTCATCTGATCACAATGATAAGGGGCAAGTGCTAGAAGATAGCTTGATAAGCAATGTCTATGCCTTCTTAATAAAGTAACCTCTTCCTCCACCCAGCAACAAGTAAAATACTCTGCTTTGGATTGTTTATTTCTGACACATCACTCTTTAATGAATTTTGTTGGTTCGTTTTCATGGTTATTTGTGCGGCAGCGATCACCTTCCTACCATGCTTAAAGCCATCTGTCCCTTTGTAGATAGTTCCATTTCAAAATGGCAATTTTCAAAAGCTTTTGTATAATATGTCTGATGTAAAACGTGATTACAGGTTTATAATTGCTGTATGGAATCTGTTTTGGTTGTTTATTTATATATTCTGGTGATTAGGTCTATCCTTCGAGCGTAAAAATGGAACCGTTAGTTGCTAGTCGTTGTGATATAGTTCTGGATCCAATGACAGTGGCACTGGCAAAAGCGTCACCGTCCTTGCATACATCTGTATGGGGTATATCATCAAAATTTATTGTAGCAGAAGAAATATGAGATTGTATTCTCATTCCAAGAGATGGCATCGGAGATAATCTTTTTTTATTAATCACAAAGTGGATGAAAGCTGACTATGAATAGGAGATGTTCTGAAAGTTTCAAGACAAAACCTCAGGCCTTGATGATGGATACGTATTTAGTTTTTGTAAATTACTTTTACATGCTTTACCTATGGTGGCCGAGAGGGGACATAACTTTCTCGCTTTCTCACTCTATTGCTTTCTTTCTCTATTCCTTTCTCGCTTTATCGCTTTATCGCTTTCTCACTCTATTGCTTTCTCGCTCTATTCCTTTCTCGCTTTATCGCTTTATCGCTTTCTCACTCTATCGCTTTATCGCTTTATCGCTTTCTCACTCTATTGCTTTCTCGCTTTATCGCTTTATCGCTTTCTCACTCTATCGCTTTCTCGCGGTATAGCAATATTCCCTCTTGGCCACTGTATGGGTCGCATGTGTTATGTGTTTCTATAGGATAAAAGGTATATGCTTAAAACAATATTAATGAATTGTTAAACCTGACCTCAGTGGGCTGAGGCTGAGGTGGGTTTTAATCATAAAAGAGAGCTGAGATTTTTCCAGTCACATTTCAAATTATATATATGGATGGAATGTTGAATTTTCTCACTATATACTTAAACATAATTTAACAGTACAGACGTAGGCGCTTTTATAACAATCCACGGATTTCTGCGTAAAAAAGAATTGGATGGATTTATGGCCCTAATTAGGAGTTTTATTGGATCCCCTGCTCCCCCCAGGCCAAGTTATCAAAACAAACAGCAAATTACACCGCTCATTAGCGCTGAGTAATACGTACTTCCTAAAAAAGATTAGTGTTTTCTTAAAAACAACACTCAGGTTATATCAATGTTTATTCTGTTTGCAGAGTAGATGCCATCAAAGTCCTAACCCAAGCAATGGTAATACTACCGGATGTCCATTATGTCATTTCTAGTTTTTGGATGACATATTGTTCCCAGTAACCGTAATGTGGAAATAGATAGTTGATTGGTTTTATATTCAAGTTGGTATTTCGGCCATTCAAAGTGTGCAGTGAGGCCCTCTTATCAACAGTCATTTCTGAGACATAAATGCAAAGTTTAATAATTGAATTCACTCTCAGTTTTTGCATTTATGATTAACTCAAACGTTCATTTCAAGATTTACAGTACATACTATTCAAAAGAAGTTAAAGAACAGCCGATTCCTTCATTTGATTGTGGTTTGTCATTGGAGTAAGCGATAGAGCGAGAAAGCGATAAAACGGTTTTTGATGATATTTTGTGATCCATTCCTGTTATTCTCACCGCTATTTTGCCTCTTATAAAATATATTTTTTTAGCATCCTGAAGTGGATAAACATGTTACAAATACATACATATTTTTTTCTCTTTTAGTTTGTGAGTTTGTATATATACACACGTGTTTATTTTCCTGTAGAGTAGTATATAAGCAAGATTCACAGACTACAACAGTCATTTTGGTCATAATACACCCCCACCCACCCCTATATTCCTCCATCAATCTCAAAACTGATAAAAAAAGAGTTCGTATATTGACAAATAATTGTCAGTTTTATCAGCTACTATTTGTATTGTATGTAACGTCCAAAGAAATCATTTTTTTTCGGTCATTTGATTTAGAGTTGAAGCCGAATATGTGCTCGTCCGATTTCGGGATCACAATTATATTGATTAAGATGCATGTACATTATGAAGACAAAAGTTATACATGTATACAGTTATGTTTCCCTTACAAAATACAGATGGCTTTGATATATGTCTCTACCTTAAGTCACATATACGACTTTCGAAGCGTCATTAACCCGTAACTCCATTCCTTGGACAATAGAAATGAAATGCGTTGTAAATATTATTTAAAAAATAACTCGTTTCTTATAATAACTTTCGATCAAACTGTCTTCGGGAAATAAATTTAATGCTAAAGTGCTTGTAATATAAAGTTTAACTTTCCCGCCAGGGGAGACTAGATATCCAAATATAGTATAGGCTCAGGCAGGAATATACATATACATATTTATACATATTTATGTAACAATTCTCTATCCATGTAAACTGCATGGTTAACAACTGTGCGTTCTGATGTGAATTATGTAGTGTTGGACTACATTTTTACACAGGCAATGATTCAGACACACACAAACACACGCACATGCATAATTTTGACAAAACTATACTTAAGATATACATAAAATCTTACAATGATAGCTGATTTACCATATGCTATTGATAATCATAGTAATGCATTTCATATTGTTATAAACTTTAACTATGTGGCCACACTATTATTATGTTTCTCCATATGTGTAATTTACACAAGTACACATATCAACTGTGGTAAGGCCAGAGCGATGGACGCAGTGGGGTAGCCTAGTGGTTAAAGCGTTCGTTCATCAAGCCGAAGACCCAGTTCGATTCCACACATGGGTTCAATGTGTGAAGCCCATTTCTGGGCCGTGATATTACTGGATTATTGTTAAAAGCGACGCGGTACGTGAAGCCATTCTCGCTCACTCACAGCGATGTTGATCAAATTACTATATACAAATACATATACTTGTAGATTTGCAAGACGAGAGACACAATTCAAGTTAAACACACATCAAATGTCAAAAAGAACATTTACAGACATCAGTATGACACACTGTAACATCATACACTACCGAAAACAAGTTATAGAACACCAACAATTATAAGATTGTATTTTTGCAAAACAATCAGCTATGACTAATTAACCATAGTCTTCTCAACTTCTTTTGAAAAGTATATATTTAGATTGTAACCTGATTTATTAA